TAGATAGAACAACGTAATTTATGTAAAAGGAAAATCAGTCCAAAAATTCAGAGGAAAGACAAGGTCGACCTGGGACACCTGTGCGTGCCAGGTGATCGTTCACGCGCGTCGCGAGCGAGAAAACACAGGATATCGAGTGGAGGCGACAATCCCGCGCACTCGAGGAGTTACGAGAGGATAATGATAATGAAAATGATGCGGTCGGGAGAGGTAAAAGGAAAAGGTGGCGGTCGGTACATCCGGTCGGTTGGCTGCTCGTAGAGCGTCAGCATTCACACACGTATTCCCTTGCCTGCTTCTCTCTCCCCTTCCGCCCCCCTCTCTCTCTCTCTCTCTCTCTCTCTCTCTGCGAAAGGCCGACGAGATCCAAGAAGAGGATAATAGCCGAAAGGCCGCACGGGACTGGTAAAGGCCGTGAAAGACGACGTGTGGTTGGGTTCCACGCGATCTTCGAATTTTTTCTCGGTCAATAAAAATTCGAAAATTCTATAGTAAGATATATCGGGTTCGTTAAAAATTTCATTGGAATTTTCAATGATTTTTCTTCAGTGGTAAACCTGCTACGACAGAGAGCTAGAACAAGGAAGATTGTTTGGTCGATACGTAATTTGTTTCCATTTAACGCGACAAAGTCGAACTGAAGTTTCCAACTGACCTGACAGCCTGGAAATCCAAACAGAGACAGCTGTACGTAAATTTGGCAGCAATTTTACAAAGATGATGATTTGTAAAGATTGCATCCTTTAGAGGTGATTCATGTGGCGCTCACATTTGTCGCAAAGAATCAATTAAGAAATCTACTCAAAACAATGTGTCATGTAAAACGCCATGTGCGAATCTAAGTGTAACTTTAGCGAGTTTATTGCCGCGTCGATATAACAAAAAACTTAATTATTTTACGGTATAAATTTCATGATTGACTAAATACGTGCCCGGTGTTTCATAAATGTAACTTAAAAAATCTGTAAAGTCTCCATTATCAATTTTTTGTGTCACGTCGTGATAATCACGAAATCAATCTGGGTGATCTAACACAGTGTTTTCAACAGTGCCCTTTGTTCCCTCTGTCTTATTTTGACCATCATAAAAACACGAGATAACCTTTGTACTCGTGGCGAACAATACTGCACCGGTAAGACCCGAGTTTTCTCGTGACAGTGTGTTAACAGCGATTATTACACAGGTCTCATTCGATCTCGCTGTCGTCTTGGACGGCGCGATGGTGAATTCTCGCGTTTCAGGCCGCTGCGGTCGCTGCCGTGTGCACGCAGTATATCCACCGTCTGGCGCGTATAAAAAGGGCGTACGTTCGGTAACCTGCGCGTAAAAGCTACGGCGATCTCTACGGTGGTAGTGGTGATGATATGGTGTTGTATGTGTCGTGTGTGTGATCTGCACGTGCGCGCGCATGTGTGCGTACACACACGTGTGTATGCGCTAGGAAAGGTATCTATCACTGACGTCAGCTCGACCGAGGTACAATGGAGGACAAGGGCCTTTACCTGGTGCTCGACGAGTCTCCCCTTCTTTCCCTATTCCCCTCCTCTTTTCCCCCGACACCCGGTGTATTGGCCCCCGGTGTGATCCACCATTTTCTAGGGGTCTTCTGTTCGCTTTATCGAGCGCGTGTGCCTTACTTCGGCTAGTGAAGGGCTTATCGAACGCGAACTCCGAGGCGGACAAAACTGTTTTATGGATTACAGACTGGCAGGTCGCGTTCGCGTGGACAGCGGTATAACGAGATACGCAACCGTACCGTTACGCACACTCGAGCCTCTTAAGGTAGATAAACTCCTCACGTCGTATAAATCGTAGAAACTGTGCTCTTATGGAAGTTTACAGTAGTTGCGATACCAGGAAGTTTACGAAACATTTTTTTTTCTTATGTACATCCGGTGTAACGCAACGATCACCATGATAATTTGTCTATGGCGGAAGACTAACGGTCCCGTATTTGACCGGGAAACAACGAGACTTTTCTACGACACGAAGGGAACGCGAGCTGGTTCGCTCTCTTATCTGTCCTTATCTGGTCGGCTGGCCGGCGGTATCAATGCCGGTGTTGTTACAGAACGAATTTAATCAATGCCAGTCTGTCTCCTCACTGCAACTACGTGCTGAGAAAGAGAAAGAGAGAGGAAGATCCATATTGACAGATTACGTAAATTTGGCAATAACTTTACTAGTTGATTTGTAAAAGTTACATCCGTTGAGTGGTTTATGTGACACTCATATTTATTATACAGAATAACGAAATAGAAATACGAAACATAAAAAAAATAAAAATTTACTCAAAATAATGTTAAGTAAAATGTAATACAAAACTTTGAGCAAAACTCTTGTTGCATCAATATAACAAAATTTACATTATTGTATAATGTAATTTAATAATTAATTTAATATAGTATATTTACCTCATAAATGTCAATAATTGTAAGATTTCGATTAATTTTTTCATGTCATGATAATGAAAGTCTGAGTATATATGTATAAGTATATGGGGTGTCCGATAATTTACTAGGGAGCCATGGAATATAAGTATAGGTTGAATCAAACTGAATACAGAAGTCCTTGAGTTATTAATTAAGATTGATGAAAGATTGCACGCGATCATCCGCCAATCTTCATTAATTATTAATTAAAAATTTTACGTGTTACTCGCAAAATAGTAGGTTTTTCTTCTTCAATCTGACAACATCTACAAGAACACGAAAAAGAATTTGACGTGGTTGCTCGTGCAATGGTAGAAGGATATTTTTGTTCAATTTTTAATCTACTTATACATCACGGCACCGCAGTGAATTTTCGGACATATATCCTGTATGTGTGTGTGCATATAACGTCAGAAACGAGGGTTCTTCGTCTATTTGATTACTTTCTTTATCTAATCCAAAAGAAACTTGAACGACCCGAACGATCTCTGAGAATGTCCGTACGCTTTTAATAAAATTAAAGACGACGAAGCGTTCGGCTTCCTCTTTGTCGGATCAACGAAGAAACGTGTGAGAGGCGACGGAGGAGGAAAGAAATCGCACGGGAGAAAGGGTTAATCCGGAATTGTCTTTGTGCGCGGCACGTGCTGCTCTCTCTCTTGTCTCCCTCGGCTCGTGCGTCTCCCGCAATCGAGACGAGAGGTCAACGGTTTAACTTCGTTCGCACAATTGGTCCGGATTAACGTCGTAATAAATCTCAATTAGGGACGTGCTCCTAAGCATCACACGGCACTCGCGCGCCGCGATCGCCCCCGGGGGAGATTTCACGGATTTTTCCCCCGATGTTGGCTCACCCCCGGCAGGCTCCTGACGCCGTGCGATAACAATAGCGCGACAATTTGACGTAACAACGTAGCGAAATGATATTTTCCGATTGTCCGCGATATATACCGCTACTGAAGTCGCTTAACAATTAAATACACGAGCGATATATTCTATTCTCAAGCTTATATCGGCGCAATTCATGTATAACGATAAAAATAAAAATTGTGATATCGCGATACATTAGGATAAATTTCTGTTCTTTAAAGTGCACTGAGTTACACTATCTGTACTTAAAATGAAGTAGGTATATGATATTTGACGGAAAAGAGGAAGAAAATATACAAAATGGAAAGATTACACCCAGGTAACACAGACGTCTATAATACTTCTAAAAGACATCTAGGAGACTTTTTCTAGGATATTTTAGATGCTTTTAGAAAGTTATATAGTGCTTGAGGAAGATAGTTTAAAAAACTACACACAGAAAGTATTCTACTGTTAAGAAATGTTATTACTCAGTTTACTTTTCTCTGAATGATCTTCAACAAAGAATATTTTCCCAATAATAGCCTTAAAATATATTCATGGCAAAGGAGGAGGGTCCCTAAGGCCGGTTTTTGACACCCTTTGAAATTGATCCAAAAATATCAGAAAAGTTATATTTTTGTAAGGACTATTGAAATAAAGTGATTTTATTCTAAACAAACATATTTTGATGCTTGCTTTTACTATAATTCTAATTAATCCCATTTTTATCACCAACACTCTTATGTCACCTACATATCATCTCCTTACATTTGTGTGCGCGCACACACACACACAATATTTCGACACTGCGAAAAAACTATAGAGCAGTATGATTTTTAAAGAAACATATATTGCTAAATATCTACACAAATAATGTTTTCGTAGTTTAGTGCGCGCGCGCACACACAAAAAGAAATGATATGTAGGTGACATAAGAGCATTGGTGGTAAAAATGGAATTAATTAGAATTATAGTATAAATAGGCACCAAAATATGTCCTTTTAGATTAAAATCACTTTATTTCAATAGACCTTACAAAAATATAACGCTTCTGATATTTTTGGTTTAATTTCAGAGAGTGCCAAAAACCGACCTCAGGAACCCTCTTCCTGTGAGGAAAACATATTTTCGTATTAAAAAAAATATAATTTGTATTTAAAAAAATGTTCTCTTTACGCGAAAATATTATAAAACTTTATCGAAGGAAAAGTTAATTCTATGTAAGCAAACCGGATTTTTGCCTTAATTTAATTTAACAATTTTTGATCGAAATGCAAAATTTACTGGGATTCAGAATATATTTTGAATAAATTTGATGCTTATAATAAAATTTTTCATGACAGATTTGAGGATATACAAACTTGAAAAAATAAAATACTTGAAAATACTTGAAAGTTACATTTCTTTGAATGCATTTTTCTATGTGCACAAAGATCAGACTTATAAGAAAAAATTCTATAGCGACACGATGGATCGTCCGACAAAATAGTCTTTATAAACCCAAAAAAAACTGCTTTCGTGTCATCGCGTTCATTTTATTTATTTCTCTTTTCTGTTATCATTATTATTCAGTTTATTATTTTTATTCTTATTTACTTTTTTTATTGTTTACTAATATTGAAAAATACCGCGCGGCCATTAGCAACGGAGAGCTACCAGATAGAGATAATTTTCTCTCAAAGAACATTTAGATAGACGAAGATCTGCATCACTTACCGCTACTGCGGGTGCTGCCGATGATCCATACGACAAGCCAAGCTCCGGCGAGAAGGCTCCGCGTCCTCGCGGAGGCCGCCGGCCGCATCATCCTCTCCGCCTTGCCGCTACAACGTTGACCTCTCCTCCTCCCCGTCTCTCCCGTCGCCGTCTTCTCTCCTCCGTCACCGGCCACTTCCTTCGCCTGTGTACTCGTTCGGCCGCGTAAAAAAAACTCCGATGCACGCGCAGGAGCTCTACGCGGAGAGCTCTATGATCGCGGCGATTCGCGCGTCTTCATCTCGCACGTAACACTCGCGTGACTCCGTGCATTCCACGATGCGGCTCTCTTTCCCTCTTTATCTCTCTCTCTTTCTCGCCCACTGCACACGACTCCTCCCTTTCGCGTCGGCTTCGTCGAGCGACTAACACTTTGCGCTCTTTCCCTGCTCTCTTTCGTTCCTACTTCAAAAGCCGCTCCGAGTTCGCTCACGAGACGACGTGCGCATCGTCCTCTGTTGCGGATGCAAAATCGCACGCGACGCGCGTCCGTGTTGTCGCAACGTGTCCTCTTTGCTCTCGGCGCGCGCAGCAAGGATTCACGGAAATGCCGGACTATGAGGGAAAGAGATCTATCGACTGATCGCGACGGAGATCGTCCGCGGACCGGCTCTCTTTCCTCAGTCTTTCCTTCTCGTTCACGCGGTCTTTGTGTTCTTCTTCTCCTCGTCTCTCTGCGGCGGCCTTCGTTCGCCAAACGAACAATCGTTCAGTCCGAGATCACTCGTGATTTCTCACATTCACTCACAGTGCGACTGTGTCGACGCGCGTAACGTAATGTCGACGCGATTTGATTCGTATTCGAAGACGAAACTCATGCGCAGCTAACTTCGCGCTCGAGCTCACACGCGCCTAACTTTACGTTCACTCTCGTAACCGACTGCACTCGATCGTCGTCGTCCTTGCACCGTAAATTACGTCTCCACCGCAGTTTACGCGACAGGATTCGCAAAGAGGATTTCTGGGAATTCTGACATTGTGGCGCGACACGGGGTTCTCTCCTTGCTCCTGTACACAAAAGTCCCGTCGTAGACAGGTAGGTTGACGGGTGTAAACGGAGTAACGCGACGCGAACCGTCGCACACGTTCACCTGGTAACACCTGGCAACGCCTGGCGAACGCGATACACACACAGCCGTTGAACCATTCGCTGGAGTCCGGCGGGACGCCTCACGCGTACAGGAACACCGTGCCGATTTCGTGCACCTTCCCCGCGAGCTTCGTGGTTTCAGTCGTGCCGAGGGGAACGGCGACGTCGGCCACGAGAACATGCGTCGCGGACTCGCTCCGACTCGTCCCGGTTTCGTCGCGATCACTTCACGAACAACGTGTTCACGAGCGTCGGACGGCGTAGCGTCAACTTGAAATCGCGTGTACACGCATGACCACCGCAAACGTTAGACTGCCTGGCCAATCGTCGTCGAGCGTATACTCGGTCGCTCTCGCGCGCGCGGCGTCTGCGCGGAGCAGACGGCGCGTTAAGGCGGCTCCGCACGCGCCACAGTCGCGGCGGCCAATAGGATTTCGCGGTCGCTAGAGATATTTTGGGTTAATCGGAAAAACAGATGGTGTCTTCGCAAAATTGCGGGGCGATGTGCCACCTGTTGAATGCGGAGAGAATTCGTTGCACGCGCAAGTGCCGTTGGCGATGTTTACGAGAAAAGATATTATCTCGTACTATACGAATACACAATAGGACGCGATTGTTCATTCTTCGTGTTTACCTTCTCCCATTGTTACTTCATCCACATCCGTCTTTCACCGTTGTTGTGTTTATGTGTTTCTTCCATGTAGTGATGCGAGCAAAAAAGACGTGACCCAAGAAAAAGAAATTTCTTTCTATATTTTTTTATATTCAATATTTTTTTATATCTTAAGATATATATTATGGTTGAGTATACATTTTTTTAGTTTTATTAGTCGTATCTCTTGTAGAATACAACCCACGTAGCATATAATATTACATAGTGTCAGAGTAATATTTCCGTAATATTGCAATATCGCAGAAATATTACGGAAATATTACTGTGACATTGTATAATATTGCATGCTATGTGGGAAGTCTTCTTACAAGTAAACCTACTCAAAATGTACACTCCGATTTCTTTTTAATTTGACACAAATATAGAAGTACAAAAAATATTTAGGTCATATTTTTTCATTTTAGCCCGCTTTGAGTTTCACGGGCAGTTTATAGCTTTTTAATGTTCTCACTCCTATCATCAACAAAAATGCATAAGAAATAAAATTGAATACAAGATATAATGATATAATTTTAACAAAATCGGCATAATAGACACAAACCATTCTAAATTTTTTTAGCCGAGATTTCAACCAAAATATTATTGGGTTGTATCTCAGCTATGCCGATTTTGTTAAAATTATATTACTATATCTTGTATTCAATTTTATTTCTTATGCATTTTTGTTAATGATAGAAATGAGGACATTAAAAAGTTATAAACTGCCCGTGAAACTCAAAGTGGGCCAAAAAGAAAAAATATGATCTAAATATTTTTTGTACTTCTATATTTGTGCCAAATTCAAAAGAAATCGGAGTGTAATTTTTGAGTAGATTTACTTGTTAGTTGAATATCTTTTAGGAAATAAGTTAACTGAATATTCTGAGAAACTGAAAACCTAATGTAAAATATAAGGCATAAAATAAGAATTCAATTATGAATTTTTTCACATTAACTGAATTTTATTTTCTAATTATATGATTTTTTTTCTTGTATAAAATCGTTAAAAGTGAATAATACGGTACTTGGAGGCGATCATGAATCTTTTCTTCCAATGTAAACATGTTTTGAAAGTATGCATTTACATATATTTTTAAGGTTTCTCACTTTTCACGCGAATTTACATTAGGAGAATAGATTCATAATTGATCTTTCGTGACTGCTAGCGGATACTTAAACTTTCTTTTAAGCTTCAATTTAACCGTCTACTGCTCAAATTAATTTCTCATATTTAAAAAATGTTTTATACACATAGGATGTTTAAAACTAAAGTACTCAACACATATAAGTTAAAAATTTACTTTTTAATTTTTTATTTTCCCAAAATAGATTTGTGACTCTGAAGTCACGTTGGACAGTTACTATCGCTGCTAACATACTAAAAAAGGCAGCCATATCATGACTTTTACGTTACATCAATCAAAATAAGAATAACGTTCATAAATAATGATAAAACCGAATTATGACTTCACAAACTCACAGTGACCAGTAGATGGTTAACAAAAACTAACCTACAATACTAATCTACTCGACAATACATAATAGCGTATCAACATCAGTGGCAATAGTAAAGGTTGTCTTTACCTAATCAAGATAATTGAAGTACTGTATCGATAATGTTAGCGTGTTACTCTCGTGATAAATTTGTGACTTTGTTGTTATTCGGTAGTTACTCTTCGCGAACATAGTTGGCGTTCCTGTTTTTATATTTTACCGCCAATGGGATCATATGCGTACACATCGTACATGCTATTCGCACCGGAGTGTCGGAGATATTCGCATTTTTCTCAAGTTTTTCGCAACTTTCTCGAGTAGTTTTCGTCATAAGAGTATGCTTGTCGAGCTTTGATTCACGTGTGCACGTGTGATGTGATCTGCGAAAAAAGGAAAAGGATATGGAGTGTATGTGATTTCTGGCAGAAGACTCCGCTGTCAAGATGACTACTCAGGAGAGTCAGACCACGTTCGACGTAAAAGTATACTTCACAGTGCCGGATCATCTTGAATCCGAGAATGATTGCAGCGAGAAAATGTGGCAGGCATTCAACGTTCGTATATTATTTTTGTCTTCCTATTGATGTCAATGTCAATTGATCTTGTGTGGTAAAATCAGCGATTTTAATTAAAGAAAAGGGAAAACATGTCAAGAAATTGTTATGCAAATCCAAGCACGTTGAGACTTTTCTAAACTTTGCTATTAATTCTAAAGAGTAGAAAGTATAAGTTTTGCCCATATTGCTTTTGTTATAGTAATAATCTATCTATCTATCACTATAAAAGAGAATTCATAATCTGGTTTCTTTGTTAGAAATGTGATGGGCTTGGTTTACGACCAAAATGGATTAGTGAAGAGTTCTGTGATAAAATGAAACCAACTAAAAATGATGTATTTATCTTGGACGAGTTCAAGGGAAATCTGTTTGAGAAGCTAAGAAACTTCAAATGCTCGTAAATATATAGGCAACTTGTATTTTAAATATATATACATATGCATATCTACAATGTTATAAATTATATTTCAGCAGGATAGTGTCACCAAATTGCTTGCTCATTTGTTTTGATAACGATGAACCTATCCCAGAGGGAAATAGTCCAATCTATACAACAGCTATGAGAGGAATGTGCATTTGCGCATCAGGTTTAAGTCCAGAGAATAAGGTACTGTTTTGATACTCTTGCTCTTTCTTTTACAAATGAATTTATTATTTAGCTTGTACTTTTGTTTATTAATAAATTGTACTTTTAATTTTAGGATCAAATACAACAATGGGTCCAATATATGGGAGGCTTTTTTACAAAACAGTTGAGAAACTCCGTCACACATTTAGTAACAGACTCAGTAATGTCTGCAAAGTATGAGGTATTCTTTACATCATTTTTCAATGTGTATATGTATTCTATCCAGTACTAACTGATATGAGATTCATATATATTCTCATTTAGAGTGCTATAGAGATGAAGATACCAATCATGACCAAGGATTGGATAAAAGCTGTTTGGGAAGCAAATTTAAACGAAGTGGTTAAAGCAAATAATGAAATTTTCGATAAATACAAATGTCCGGTTTTTATGAATTTAGTAGTCACCTCGACAAATCTCTCCAAGCGACAGAAAGAAGAGGTCAAATGTTTGATACACGATCATGGCGGAGTAAGTTGAAATCTATGTAATATATAGTAGTGATTATAATCTTACAATTGAAAGGTATACATTTTTATATTATGTACAATTGATTGTCACAATTTTTGTTTGTAGACTTTCATGGGTCCTCTTGATGGGGCAAAGGTTCGAATAGTCATAGCTTCCGAGAATGGGCCGTTGAGCGACAAGTTGAAGTATGCCATGGATAACGGTATCGCGTGTTTGAAAATCAACTGGGTATATGAGAGCATTAAAGTAGGATATGCTTTACCTTTTCGCCATTTTCTCATAAAATCTTCGAAAGCATCTTCGACGCCGGAAAAACGATATAGTACGTAAATAATCTCGGCGAGTTATTATAGCGAATAGTTTGTACATATATATATCAGATTGAGAAATAAATAACTTTTATAAATTTTTAAATTTAATAACTTTTAATTTTTTTTATAAAAGGTCGTATTACGCTCAACTGTTCCGAAATCAGCTCTATACCGCACGATAAACATTACAACAATTATGTGAATGAAACCTTAAGTTCGACAGTATCGAACTTTTCTACCATGGAGGTAGTATCTAATAATTTACCTGGCAGTGAGTATCGATGAAGCTTGTAACAATTCATTTTACTATGTCAAGAGATTACGAATTAAAACATAAATGTTTTCTTCCACGCAGCTTCTGTGTCGAACGTTTTGGATAGGCTTACGTTCGGCAAGGCGAAACTGGCTGGACCATTTCTGGACGGTTGCAATGTAAAGCTTCCTCAATTTTTTACTATATTTATTTTATTTTTCTTTTATTTCAATTTCTTATCAACGTGTCTTTTTTGCAGATTTATCTCGCTGGATTTGCAACGAGCGTCAGAGATAAATTGAACAGAATATTAAATGTCGGCAGCGCGACACGTCTCGACGACATATCGGACGCTGTGACACACGTGATTGTCGGCGATGAGGATAAAGCATCTACGGAATTGAAAATGATGAAATTAAGAGGTTTATGGTATGGTATAACTTCGACACATTAATTTGAATTGAAGAGTATTAAAGTGGAGGATTTGTAAGCGAGATAAAAAGTGAAAGATTCATTCTTCGATTTTGTGATCCGCTTAACAATATCCATAATAGATTCATAATAGATCTTTCGATTTTATATTTACGACTGACGATCTTATGTTCGTGCTTGTTTTAAACAGTCCTTATGTACTGAGCATAGAATGGTTAGAGGAAAGCATGAAATTGAAACGTCCTGCACAAGAAGAGCATTTCTCACTTGAAACGAAAGGCGGCGTGCCGAAGAAGAACGTTGAGACTCCTGCCTCTCCACTCAGTAAGAAGGTACAGTTTAGACTTTAACATGCATACTTTTTGCAATCTCTATAAAGAAAGAAAATTGATGAAATTGAAAAGCTAAAATTTTAAATATAAAATATGAAAAACATTAACATGTTACTAAGTTCAACGTGCATGTTTGACATTTTAGAATTTGCAAATGTTGCAACAACCAAAGAGGCCTCCTGTGCCATCTTTCAATTTACAAAAAGATATTACACCTGACAATGAAGAACGGCAACCTGATCTTGTGCGGCAATACTTGCAGGAAACTACTAGTAATAATTATTATATACTATTATATGTTATATATATTTTATGTAACAATATTATATGTATTAGTATGTTATATAACAATGTTATATGTATTATATGTAACAATAATTAAAGTTATTGTTATAAATATTATAGTTACAGATAATTTGTTTACAGCACACAATAATACATCGCAAGAATTTGCGAGGCCTCGTACGCCTATATCAGAAAATAAAGATCCAGGAAATGACGACAATGTGACAAACAACTCACGGCCTAGTATACTTTTCGAAACCATGCAAGCTAAAGACCCGGAAAAAGGTACTACATCGATGGATGAGACTTATATGGTGGACAGAAAGTTATTCCAAGGTATGACCGAAGATTCTATTCTCGTTTGAAGTACGAAGAAGACGGTATGACGAGGTCTTGAAAAGAGAGTCATTATTTATGTTTACTAAATAATTAATATGAATCCTTTCATGTCTGACGTTTCAGGCCTGACGTTTGTTGTAACTGGCTTCGATAGCAACGAGGATGGCAGTCCGGAGGACACGATTGTAACTTTGGGCGGACGCGTGGTCTCGAATTCGTACACCGGTATCCCGGATTACGGTGTCGTGCCTGTTGACGGCGCGCCACTGAAGCACACGGTCAATGAGATTGTCACTGACTTGTTTATTGCAAGTGTCCTTCGCATTACTTTCGTACTTTTTCTCTCTTTTGTTGAATGTACTCTAAACTATAAAATCTACTGAACTACTCAAGTTTTGAAATATGTTGTATGTGTTAAAAACCATTGCGCCGATATTCATTTGTTAACAGGAAGATTGCATAAATCAGAAGGAAATCGTCGACATTAGTTATTATCACAAACCGTTATCGATTAGAAAACCTTGCAGCCCGCTATCGAGATGCGTCATAACGATGAGCATGTATACCGGAATGGAACGGAAGTACCTCTCGGCATTGGGCACACAGCTTGGAGCTATGTAACGTATACTCCACCCGCGAGATTTGTCGCGCTCGCGCCAAGATTACCCTCTCATATTTGTGGACGTTTTCAGATGCCAAGATATATTTTCGCGGAAAGCGAATGCGGAGAAGAAAGTGCATGGCAGCACGCATCTGGTTTGTCCGACTCCGGAGGGAAATAAGTACAACGCGGCTGTGAGATGGAAACTGCCGGCCGTCACTGCCGACTGGCTGAAAACTTGCGCGGATCAATTGACATTAGTAGACGAAACGTCGTTCCTCGTCGGAGAAACAATAGGTAAGTCGATCTATGTTCTTGCACAATCTCTTTTTTCCTTAAATTGAATATTCGTGAATTTTTTAATTTGTTTTTTATTCGTACAATTACATCCCGAAATATAATTTTATACAATTCTGACGTGTGCGTATGTTAAAAGCACCAGACAGATCGACCTTGAATTCTATCAATGGAGAAGTAAATCCTTCGAATGCCAGCGAAAGCGAAATGAATATGGTAGAAAAGACTACGACGAGAAACATTCTCACACCGAAACGTCATTTATCTCAAATCAAGGTATATGTTGATTTCAAGCGACGTTAATATTTCAAAATATATCATGAGCCCTTGTGTTTGCGCGAAAAGCTTTTTTACGATGTACCTCAAATTTAAAAAACAAAAATCTTTTTTACATTATAAAGAAGTAATTCGAAATACTTAAAATGCGCCATAAGTTTCTGTCAAATTGCAAATTATAATTTTGATAATGTTACACAGAACGAGGATATGTCTGGCGACACTCCGCTGATAAACAAAAGACTCAGTATTGTGATGAACAAGACGCCGCAGTCACCGTTTCATGTTTCCACTCCAGAAACTCCATACGGACAAGTTTTCAAACCCGATCCATCGCCCGACACGAGAAAGGGATGGGTCAAGTGGGTTAATAATTTCCCGGACTTACAGGTGACGGAACCGCCATTGAAACGACGAGCACCTAGTACTGTGAGTATCGTTTTCGTAGAAATTTAATATATGTTAATAATATTTATATATGTAATTTATATGAAATTTTATTTCATCATTAATATTTTTTTACATTGGAGATCAAAAAGATTCAATAAGTGCGATTGTCTGATTTGACATTCTTTTCTTAGATTCTTAATGAGTAGTCTTAATAATTGCAAATTATTTTACGAACATATTATGCACGAGTGTTCCATTTTACAATAGCATATACAAGCTATAATTGAACACATTTTACAGCCGCTCTCAGAACTGAAGAGACAATTGTGGGAGAAATTGAAGAACCCAGGTCAATCTGAGAAGGTAAAACACAAATATATTTTATTATTTCTCAATATAAGGCTCTTTGACCTTTTTTCTCCTTTCTTAATATCTTTTGTATCGTTTTATCATTAGGAAAATGCATTAAGTGAAACACCAACGACATTGAACAGTGATACTCTCGTAGAAATAGCCACAGAGAAACAAGATGACAATCGATCTGATAAGGATAGTCTATTGACTCCTATACAAATTAACAGGAAACTCGACTTCAGTCAGGAGGATACTCCTGTGTCGAATAAACCGAATAACGAGATAAATATGTATGTATGTTTATGTCTTATTTTTTATTTATTATAGGGATAAATAAATTTGTGTCTTGCGCAAAATAGGCAAATAGCGCAATTGGATCAAGTGCTTCAACGAACATCAAGCACTCCTGAGAAAAGGTACTCTCTGTCCGGTGAAAACGCGAAGAAGTATGACGCCGAAGCTCCCGACCATATACAAAAGTGTGAGTGTTCAGATCATCATTTTCTTAAATGTTTCTATTTTTCACCGCTAACTTTTCGGAATTTTGCATACAGTTATGGTAAAGGACTCACAACCTGCTGACACTATCGTGTGGGAAGACCCGAGTCATTCGAAGCGAGTAAGTGACAATTACTTGCATGTTTTCTTCTTTCTATTATTTATTCTTTTACTTTTCATCACTTATAACGTGATCTGCATGTTTTTATAGTCAAGGTTGGACAAAGAAACGATCGAAGACAATATAAGTGAAAAAGACAATGACAATATAAGTGAAAAAGTCGAAGAACCTCTTCGACAAGATATAACGGCAGAGTACGAGTGCGAACCGTCACCGATACGAAAATTCATGCTGTCAGGTGTAAAGGTAAGATATATGACATTCATGTAACGTTACTAATTTTTTTGTCTACTCGAGACGATAGCGTCTTTTTGAACTTTCATATTCTTATATTCAAGATATCGAAGTTCAAGATATCCAAGACATTTCGAAATATAAAGTCGCAATTTATAATAACTATAATATATGATAATTATAAATATAGATCTATGATATAATTATCTATAATATACATAATTATAATTATTAGATACGCAAAAATTAATTTGGTCTTTTAATCTTTAATCAATCATAATTCCATATATGTTCCACTTTAAATTCAAATATCTTTCCACTTCTATAGTAGATAATTATAATTTAACGCGCATAATCTATCTTAACGTAAATTGAATGTTCGATAGGATCGAAATGCGTACGAGCGAGTAATACGGGAACTCGGTGGAGACGTGTCGATGGACGCAAGCTTCGACAACAGTGCGACGCATCTTCTCTGTATTAGGCCATCACGAAATGAGAAGATGCTTGGCAGCATCGCGTCCGGGAAGTGGGTCCTACATTGCTCGTATTTACGCGACTCTGAACGAGAGGGGAGATTTCTTGACGTCAGTACACCTCTGTGCTTATCGAATTTTCTGTCGGAGATCCAATTTCAGATTATCAGGATCGCTTCTCTAATATTATCTCGAAATTAAAAGTAGATCAGCACATCGAATGATATGCTGATTTCACGTGACTTCCGATTTACGCTGCACGAGCTACTAATAATATGATAACTGAACATTATAACGCGCTAAATATGTGTCGATTAACGCGACATTAGAAAAATATTCATGATAATGTTTTCTTTTGTTAAACGTAGAAAAACGTGTGATTCACTGATGATTTACAAACATATTTTGCTTTAAATTGAAATTCGATGTTGAATTAGGTTCTATAATTTCGTGAATTTTCATTGGGAATTTATGTGTATGTGCACCCTTCAAATCAACAATACAAATCGCGATGAAAATTGCTACGCTGAAAGCTCAATCGCTTCTTGCTGAATTGTATTTTTAACATTTAAAACATCGGAATCACCAAGAAATCTCACCATATTAAATGGCGATAAGCGACTTGTGATAATATAAAAATGTCGGTCTAGATCTCTTTTACTTAATAAAATTCTCGTTAGATACCGATCAATTTAATACGTGTGTGTGCGTGCGAGAGAATAAACATTGGATCATTCTTCGCGTTATTTTTGACGATAAAAAACCGCTGCCATTAAGAAAAATACTCGATATCGATTTATATCGATGTATTGCAGTTGATCTCATCGGCTGCAGGATCTGATAATTTCTATTCAGAATTGTATGAGCTGTCACGGGCAACGATCAATGTGACCGTTAATAATAATTAAATAACTTCGTTATCGCTATTATTACGTCAATGTGGTAACATCTGATAAAGTCCACGACTTCGTAGAATTGGTACGGAAAATCTCAATAATCGATGATAGCCGTGATAACGTCTATATCCAAGATTGGAAGATTATCGTCAAGTGCAGCTCTATGTGCGTTTTATATGTGCAATCCTGTACTTATATCTAAGAGAAAAATACGATTTACGCATATAGAATCGGCTAAATATTGATTGATTTTCGCAAATGAAAATTTCACAGGAGGAGGAATACGAATGGGGTAACCCGAAGAGCAAGGACACAATACCAGAACTGAACGGTGAGATCGAGCGGGCGATCGCAGCCGCGGCTTATAGGTGGAGGTTGAAGTTGCTCAAGAAGCCGAATGGTCCTTTCTCCGATATGGTGGCTTTACTGCTGGTCGCCGAGGAGAAGTATGATCAGTTCAAAAGGCTGATCGTAGCCGGTGGTGGTTCGGTCATGCAAGCGCGGTGCGTATCGTCGCGAAGATTAATTTATAGACAACACATATATCAAATTTTTCTCATAAAAATTAAATTGAAATATCTTACTTAATTACTATTGTACGGGTAACAATAAATGAATTATGTTAAATTTGATTCGAAGTACAGCAGAGATTTATTATGATTGACTTTTTCATTTAGTCTCGTTATATTTATCGAAATGAATGGAAAAATTAAGATTATAGGTTTGTTAAAATATTTTACAAGATATATCCGATTATCTATTGTAATTGTAGGCCACCATACGATACGAGTCCATCCGGGCGCAAGATCACTCACTGTTTCGTTAACGTCAGACAAGTGAATCAGCCGATAGATTGGGCCATGTTGGCCAGCAAAGGCATTCTTTGCTTTCTGCCGCAGTACCTGAGCGACTACTTGACAGCGACGATACCGCTCAGTCCGCGGGACTGCGTACTGCCGGAATTCAAGAAATACCTCACGCTATTGCCGAAGTAGAATTGTATCTACAGGAGTACCGCTTTTTTTGCTCTAATGAATATTTATCCCTGGGGACACAACATCACATTTTAAGTTGAAATTATTATAACGATGTAAAAAGAAACAATATATAACGAGCATCTCGTGGACATTTAGTAACGGCGCGTTTTTCGACAAATCAATGATCACTCTGACGTTGAAAAACGATATATACAGCCGAAAATATCGATACCGGTGTTACAAAATAGATTTTTTAGAAGTTTTTATTAACAATTTCATGGTCATTATTGCGTAGAAATATTGGCTCATTAATTTATACATTCTTCTTTCCTTTCTTCAGGTTTCTTTTCACTTGCGTTATCATTATGCATATGCATTTGATGACAATTCTTGACGGGTCATTTCGTGTAAGATATCGCTGTTATGCTGCGATACTGCACTTTGTATTCTTACATTATCAAGGAAGTAAATCGAAATTATAATTATATTCTTGTAAATGTGAACGCATACGAGATGTGTGTATTACTCCCTCTACGGTGTAGATTATGAACTACATTGTAGACAGCGAGTTACAATAATGTATATAGTAAATTTGGAAACACGACGATAAAATATCGAAATAAAGATCTTTTTACAGATAGCAAAAAGATATCTCTTAGAAATATTGGCGTAGATTCTAATGACTTCTCGGGAAAAGACCTTATATCAAACCTTCTGCAGATATCCAAAAATCCTGGAAGATCCTTGGAATAAGTTATCGATATAGCTTAATAACAATTGAAGAATTTTTTTTCACCTTAACGACATGGTTGTAATGATAAGAGCCATTGGTCGCAATCATAATTCTCACCACAATCTCCATAAACCAGAATAATATATTTTATTGCATAAAAAAAGTATGTTAATTTACAATATCGTATTATTTTTAACATAATAATTACTTTTTTAACATTTTAATTAAAATGGTAAATAAGTGGCAATTAGTATATTAATTATATTTTTTCAGCAATTTCGTTCCGATTTTGTAACATTGATAAGAAGTTGATTTTATCAACGTTTTCTAAGTCTTCGACTATTAGTCAATTATATTAGAAACTAAAGATATATACAGGATGAGCTATTTTAATCGACGGATCCAAATTGCTCCTAAAATACGCCAGCTACAAAAAAATGGTTAAGACAAGAATTGTAGAGGACAACAGGGGTCATTTTACTAATAATTTTGACCTTCAGATCGATTTTCAAGGTCATTCGAAGGTCAAAGTCATTTTTTAAAATTAGAACCCCTATTTTTGACACCGGATTCGAAAAAAGCAGAAAATTTTACGTTAAAAATGATATTTAGATTTTTTTTCTGCGTCCAAGAAGGTCAAATCAAGAACTTGGAAGATGTTAATTCAATACTTTTAGCGTTACCCGGAAACAACGACGTAGACGTGGAGGATAGTCAGCCATATTTAAAAAAAATTTTTCAAGTTACCCTGCACTCAAAAAAGAAAAATTATTAAAGGCAATACTTTAAAAGTGTTTGTTTTTATTTTTAAAATTTTATTTATTACGCCTTATTAATAATCTTATCAAAGTGAGATTATTGCGCATCAATTTCGGAAATGGAATGACAACGTTTCGCAACTTTTCTTCTATTAGTATTTGTTAGTACCGCGAAACACTTATCATGCATAAAGATCTTTAAAATTAACATTAACAGCTTCTAAGTTGTTTTTAATCATTTTTTATTTGACCTTCTTGGACTTAGAAAAAAAAATCTAAATATCATTTTTAACGTAAAATTTTCTGCTCTTTTCGAATCCGGTGTCAAAAATAGGGGTTCTAATTTAAAAAAATGACTTTGACCTTCGAATGACCTTGAAAATCGATCTGAAGATCAAAATTATTAGCACGGTAAAATGACCCCCGTTGTCCTCTACAATTCTTGTCTTAATCATTTTTTTGTAGCTGGCGTATTTTAGGAGCAATTTGGATCCGTCGATTAAAATGGCTCACCCTGTATATCACTTGTGCGCGTTATTTACATTTTCTTCAAATCTAGCTGGAATCCCATTGGTGGCGTGGTAAACACATTGCTTTCGTCTATAGTACAGAGCCAAGAAGGATTCAACGCAACCTCGTAATCGCGTAAGATTGTTATAACTCCCACAGCGGTTTGCAGATACCCTAATCGCATACCTGATAAAAAATGAATTTAATTAGAAGAGAGACAGAGAGAGAGAGAGAGAGAGAGAGAGAGAGAGAGAGAGAGAGAACACTTATTATTGTCATGAGCTAGTTTTTAAAGAAAAGAGGAAAGTGAAATGTAATTTTATTCTTTTTTAGAATAAAATGAAATTATCTATAATTATATTCCCTCTTTATAGTTATATATTTAATCCATAGATATTGCATAATGTATATATAATTAATAAGCTCATTAATAGAGAATATTCTACGCATACTACAGGTTTGATTGTGTATTTTAACAATAAAAGTAGCGAGAGATTTTAAAATCTACGGAAACATTACAAAATGAATTTAATTTACTGACCTATACAATTCCGCGGACCTTCGCCAAAAGGCATATAGGTGCATGGTAGTATCTCATTCTTCCTCTCGTCGCTGAACCGTTCAGGATCGAAAGTCAAGGGATTCGGATGATACCTGGGATCGGTGTGAAGGCCGTACAACCCAATATATATTGGTGTATCCTTCTCAATAGTTATCTTCGTGCCGGGAAACTGTAATTTTATTTTTATACATATAATGCGATTTTCTTTGCTATGTTTTACAGAGTGTCCCAGACTCTCCTCCGCATATTTTGTGGGAATATAGAACAAGTCGAGGTGTACGTAAAAGTCCTATACTGTTTTGCGACATTCGCAATAACAGTCGAGATAATAATTAAAAAAATTTGTGAATGATCATGCGCAATATGGTAGATGAGCTGCAATGGCGTCGTCTGCTATTGTATATTTATACATTAAGTCAAACTAAACAAAAAAATCCTTTATCATTTTGCAAATGATCACATAGATTTTTAGATATTAATTAAAGAAACTTTGTGCATATTATGGTACACAATCATATAACAATTTTCTTTAATTAATATCCAAAAATCTATATGATCATTTGCAAAATGGTAGAGGACTTTTTGTTCACATTAATTTGACTTAATGTATACAACGGCAGACGGCGCCATTGCAGCTTATCTACCATATTGCGTGTGATCATTCACAAATTTTTTAAATTATTATCTTGACTATTATTGCGAATATCGCAAAACAGTATAGGACTTTTACGTACACCTCGACTTGTTCTATATTCCCACAAAATATGCGGAGGAGAGTCTGGGACACCCTGTATATTCCGCTGTCAAAAGTACGTTTAATATAATTTAAATAATTTAATAATAATGTTATGTTATCGTTATAATGTGATATTGTGTAGTGTTATATATTATTTTTTTATTTATATTTTACCGTATAATTTTCAACGGCAACTCTATCGAGGATCGACGCGGGCGGATACAACCTCAGAGTTTCAGATATTACTTGTTGCAGATACTTCATATCCTGGACAGCCTCGTATGTAATGCCGTTCGCAGCTTCAATCTTTTCAATGATCTCTTGCCTGAGACGCTTCTGCATATCTGGATTCTTGGCCATTTCACAAAGTACATAGGTCATGGTGGTAATGCTGGTCTCGCGACCGGCGACGAAGAAAATCGCCGCTTGAGCGACAAGAGCGTCTCCGTCGAATCCTAAAGGGAGACAGTGGATAATAAGCAAGTATATCAGTAGTAATAGATCTTTTGATTTTGATCATGCTAGTATTTATTTATACGGAGTGCCTGAGATCGCTCGAGCTCCTTTTAAAATGAAGGGAAGTGATTTTTATGAGAAAAATGTTGATAAGTAGATCAGATACACTCTATCGAATTACTATCGATTTACTTATCAAAGTTTTTTGAATTTTCGATAAAAATAATTTCTCTTCATTTTAAAAGGGATATATATATATATATATATATATATATATATATATATATATATATATATATATATATATATATAATCTCAGACATCCTGTATGTTCGTGATCGAGATATCTGTATTTGCATAATCCATAGATTGCAATGATGATTACTCACGAAAAATATTATTTGAAATATTCTCGGATTTCAATTGTATGAGGGAATCTATTAGGTCGCCCCGTTTCATTTTTGTGGCGGTTCTATTGTCCATCGAGTTCCAAAAGACTTTGCGGAAATAATCCGTGCTATCGCCAAGTATCCTTAGACCGAGATATTTCCCGAAGTTTGGAAAGAAGAAAAGAAAGAAGAACCGCACAGCCCTCGTGAGAGTCTGTCGAAATGGCTTGATTGCTATTTGAGCGCGTGAAAAAAAATAATGTTTTATAAAAGGAAATTTGTTACACCAGAAAATCATAATAATCTTATTATATTTGCACATTTTTTTAAACTTGAAATCGCTTACCACGAGTGTAAAATTCCGGTGTTTGCGTGTCGAAACAGTTAATCTGAATTCCGAACGCCACAGAGGCTATCACGTTGGTGGTATATTTGTAGAACGTATCCTTGACATTGATCGACGTGATTTTGGAGTCTTCTTTGAACAGATCACGCAGATGCACCCTCATAGCTTCTGAGGTCCCCATCATCAGCATAAACAGATTCTTCAGCTTTCCGCTCGTGAACACTGGCGTCATTTTTGTTCTGTGCAAGAAAACAGGACTTTTATTGCCGCTCGAAAAGTGAGCTTACAACGAGCTCGACGTATATCGAAAAAAGTGAGTATATGTTTCAATTTTAATTTTATCTAATTTCAACTTTGTATCAACAAATTAAAAAAAATGAAAGTTTCCGAAGCATTGGAAGATGAGAAAATATAAGAGATAAGACTTTTCCCTTGTTCACAACCTTGCTTTAATCTTTAAGCCATAAGATATTGACCAATCATAGTTGATTATTTTTAAAATAATCGACTGTAGTTGGTCAACTTACGGCTTAAAGATTAAAGCAAGGTTGTGGACAAGGGGTATGTTTCACTATGAAATCGTAGTTTAGGAAAGAAAATGCGATGTAGATAAAAACTTCCGAATAGTCTTTACTACCGGATATTTTTTTACATTTACACTGACGTTCCGGTTTTAATTATGACGCTGATATTATTTGCGATAATATTGTTGTTTACCTTAGATATTTCCATTTAGGATTGTTTAATGAAAAGAGACTCGATGATCCGAGATCATCAAAAATACTTCCGCCTGAGAAGTGATGATTGGGGAATACATGAAAATCTTTGACAAGCATTTGTTTTATGAGCTCCGGATTCCTCACGACAAGGAACGGCTTATGGAAGATGTAGATACCCAAGACGTCGTCCTCGTCGGCGGCTTGCTTATGTAAGTTACCGACCATCATACCTGGTGACGTACGCATCAGCAGGGAGTTCTTGAAATTCCCAAAGAACCAATGTCCAGGCAATGAACGTACACCTCGTTTTTGCCAGTAAGAGTGCTTTCTCTTCATCCAAAGATACAGCGTCGCCAGGAACGCCAAAAATATCAGGAGAACGTTCAACATTGCGCGATTGATCAACGTTACAACGTATATGTTAATGAGACTTCGCGTCTGCACTTTAGATACTTCACTTTTGTGGAGAAACTTGCAGAAAATTCGACTACGTTAGAAACATGTACACTCCGGCAAAGATTCCGTAAGAGACTGCAATATAAAATATTGAGAGTGATAATGCAGATTAATACATGCTGAGTCATTTATCTTCATGCGGACCAATAATATCACGCGCTGTAAAGTGAGTAAAAAAGATTATTATTCGCTTACCGTCAACTGTTTAACGGTTTCTTCTTTTTATTTACATTATTATATAATTGTTGTAACAACGGATACAGAGTAGATAAAGATTATAAATAAATAAAAAGAAGATGAATAAAACAGTTAAATAAATAAAAACTAAATAAATAAATAACATAAACTAATTTTTTTAAACATAACTAATTAAATAAAAACATAAATTAATTAAATAAAAAAGAGCTAAATAAAAAATTAAATAAAAAACTATCACGGATTCTTATTATTGACTTTTGTTCTATATGACTGTGTGTGTATATATCAATTTCTTATATCTATTCTTTTTTAATTATTCTTTCATCTTCTCTGTAACAATCCTTTTTTAAACATACTTTTGTTATAATTAATTATATATTAAATATTGTTATTTTTATTTGTAGTAATAAATTATCGATTATTTGATAGTAAGAATAACAATTGATAGTAAGAATAACAATTATCAATGATATTAACAATGAAAGTGAAGAGCAGGATAAGATCGATAAAGGTTAAAATCGGAAGTTATATTAAATTTTGATTCTATACACGTACTTTTTGTTATATTTGCAGTGCATTTATTATGTATATATATATGTGTATATTCGTTAACTTGTTCTTAAGTAATACGATAACAATAAGAAATATTAAATAAATAGTGCCTTAATTAGATATTCACATAAGACATGAGACGTATGATTAGTCAATGATTAATCACGATATTAATTATAAATAAATTATATTTTTTACACAGAGTATTTGAAAACTCGTATGTGTCAATGCTGCGGCGCAAAAACTTCACGAGGAACTATGTAACGGTTTAAGTATACGTATCTTTTTTTCAAATTCGAATACGCAGTACAACTTCGACGGTTTTCAAATTACGCAACGCAATAATGTTTAACTACGCGATGTCCTTCCCTACGATTTCGTCTTAAATACTATAAAATACAAATACACATAAAGAACATAAAGAACATGATACTGATAGCTATACTGATACAGTATTACTGATACAGTATTGTTTAATTTCTTTTCCACTTCTAAAATAACTTATATTTACAAGCGTTATTAGTAATCGTTTAACTAATATTTCGACTGATATTCTTGCTTTAACACTCACGATACTCTTTCTGATTTCTCTGTCTGAGATACGAATATCATTTGAATATCTTTTGAATCTAGAAAGATTTGTTTATTATAGTTTATAGAATATATTAAATAAATCACTGGGAATAACCAACGAGTTTAGCTCGTGAAAACTAATTCGAATGATCAATTGGAATGATCGCTATCACATGCGTAATAAGTAGAATAATTAGAGAAGCTAAAATATTCTTCACTTCCATAATCGATATAAATTGTGTATGTATGTCTGTATATATGTATTAAGGACACGCGTGCATCGTTCAACGAAATCCACATTTATATCCAAATATTTCCTTAGTTTCAGTAGTTAGTTATTGTTAACGATAAGAAGATTTGCGGATATAGAAGTAAAGTATATTTAGAAAACGTACTGCAACAAGGGAAGTGAAAAATTCGAATTGTTGCAGTGCGTTTCCCGTGCGTACATTTAGTATAACGCACTTCTGCAAATCAGATACGCTGTTATTCTTTCCGGCAATTAAATCTGTTTACGAACTCGATTTCATAATCAGTTGTGATCGGTCTGGTTATCGGACGATTTTCTTGAAATGGAGCTTGATGCCGTCGGCAGCTGCAGTGAAGGTCGATCGTGTATCCAGGCTGCTTTTGTCCTCGTGGTTCTGCCAAATCTCATACTCACTCAGAAGCATCGACAGAACGACTTTAGCGTGAAGTGTTCCTGCTTTTGATCCTGCGAACAGCAAGTAGCAGACCCAATTTAATAACCTTTATCTTCGCTGATTCACGTCTTTATCGAGTATAATGATTCGACGAAATTTCATCAACGACAAGTTTTCATTTATGTGTATAATTATAAGATATATATTTATTTTATATATTATATACTTTTATATTATATATTATATATAATATTATATACTACACATATCAATATAAATATGTATACTTTCTTTTTTTATTTGTACAAAATAATATATTATTATATATACAGGGTATATATTATTATAATATATTATTATATATTATTATATATTATTATATATACAGAGTGTAACATAATGGACGACTTTCCTCTAGAGGTTTTCTCTTCCACTTTTTCCTCTGACTATTAATAACAAAGTTATTAACGAGGAAAGTCGACCAATGGCGTGTGTGTGTGTGTGTGTATGTGTATGCAGGATGTCTCACACTTTCCTCCGGGCATTTTGTGGGGACGTAGAACAGGTTGAGGTGAACATAAAAGTCCTATACCGTTTTGCGATATTCGCAATAATTATCGAGATATTAATTGTAGAAAATTTGTGAATGATCATGCAGGATATGGTAAATGAGTTATAATAGCGACGACTTCCGTAGTGTACTTATACTTTGGGTCAAATTGAACAAAAAAGTTATTACCATTTTGCAAATAATTACATAGATTTTTAATTATCAGTTAAAGAAGATGAGTGCATTATCAAAATCATGCAATAATCTTTTTTAATTAATAATTAAAAATCTATGTGATTATTTGCAAAATGGTAGAGGACTTTTTTGTTCAATTTGTCCTAAAGTATAAGTATACGACGGCAGTCGTCGCTACTATAACTCATTTACCATATTCTGCACGTTTATTTACAAGTTTTCTACAATTAATATCTCGATAATTATTGCGAATATCGCAAAACGGTATAGGACTTTTATGTTCACCTCAACCTGTTCTACGTCCCCACAAAATGCTCGGAGGAGAATGTGAGGCACCCTGTATATATAAAACCTGTATAGATGATTGCAATAAGTCAACAGAGTGGACTTTTACTTCACGCAAAAGATAATCGTGCTCGATCACGTAATTATTATAATTATCGTGTTCGATCAAAATGTCGTGATTTTAATAATGGAGACGTGTATTGAAAAGCCAGTAACATCTCTACAATCGATCAAACGATCGCGAATTTCTTTTCTCATTTACACACCTATGCACATCCTGGGTCCGATTCCAAATGGCATGTAGGCATCGGTGATTTCATTACCCTTGGCGAATCTGTCAGGGTTGAATACGTGCGGCTCGTCGAAGAATCTGGGGTCGTCGTGGATGCCATACAGAGAGATGTATATCGGCGTACCTTTCTCGATGATGATATCGGTACCGGGAATCTGGAATATTACAGGTATTCGCTGCTATTAATTCATGTCTTGAAAAAATCCACAGTCCAAAGAGCTTCTTTTCAATGAACGTTTAAAAAAATCCACTTCTCGTGAAATAGAATTTCCACTGAGATTTGAGATAAGATATCTCTCTATTCAATTGTAAGTAAAGTTTATTTAAGTAACATAACAAAATAAAGAATCTCACGTAAGTAAAAGCGTGATTAGAAGTTGTTATTCTTTAAAATGACATAGATTAAGGTTTTTATTTGACTTATACACATTTTTAATAAAAAGATAGTGAGATCCGCAGATATATTATTGTTACAGGTAAATAAAAATTTGAGCTCATCAGATGTTTAGATGATAACGAAGTATTATCTCTTATTCCGAAGCTGAGATTAATTTCTGCGTTAGCCAAGTTATAAAACCGATTATACAAATGCTAAGATTTTCAGAAGTTTACGACTTCTCTCGTGAAATTTCAAATTTTTTCTTTATAAATAAAATTTTCATTTGCGGATAATACATTTTGCGAGTTGGTACTGACCTGATAATCCTCACGAGTGTATCTGTCGATCGTGGACACGGGCGGATGCAACCTCAGGCCTTCGGCTATCGCCTGATCCAAGTATTTCATGTTGTTGAATGCCTCGTACGTCCAGCCATACTTCTCGATAGCCGCGTTGATGTCCTCCCTAGCCAGTTGCTGACATTCCAAATGGTTCGCTAATTCCATCAACGTGAAGGACATGCAAGTAGAGCTTGACTCAAAGCCGGAGAAAAAGGTTCCAGACTGATACAGCAGATTGTCACCTTCGAATTCTACGACAGACATATCAATACTTTAGTTTTTATCGTCATGTTCGATAATTTTTAAATTTAATTATTCATAACAAAGTATCGCCACAAAACTTGTCAAAAAGCTCCAAAAATCTATATTTTGCAAAATAAAATGTTCTATTCTTTTAAATACATAACTGCAATAAGTTACTCACTATAATCGGGATTCTGTTCGCCGTATTTCAGCTGAAGCAGAGAGTCAATAAAGTCTCCTCTCGCCTTACCACTCTTCTCACGATTTTCCATCGCTTCCCAGAATACTTTTTTCACGAAGGAGGAGTTGAAGAGTAACTTCGTACCAAACAGTTCCACGAGTTCGGGCATGAAGAACACCGTCACCAATGCTACCATCCTCTTGAACCCGTGAAAGAACTCGGCAACTGCAAAGTTTATTTCTGACTTATCATATCGTTCGTTAACCGTTTTTTTTTTCTATTATTTTATTTCTATTGTTTTATTACACTACATACAAATAAGAATTAATCTAGATTCTTTAATATAGAAATAAATATAGATATGAATAAATATTTGTGATATTGTTAATTATTTTTTACAGAAAAATGCACGTCTTGCTTCTTAATGAGCTGATCTGAAGTCGAAACATGTAAATACCTGCGGCGGTGAATTCAGCATTTGGATAATGGAAGGAGTCCATCTTGGTGCCAAGAGCAACCGAGGCGATCAAGTCAGTCGTATACTTGTAACTGAGTTCCTGGGCGTCTACAATCTTTGTATTATTAGTATCGAATGATTGTTTCTTTAAGAATGTCATCATAGGTTGTCCGGTCTCTATCATCAACGGGAATATCTGCTTTAGCTTGCCCTTTGTCAGAGTGGGTGTGATCTTAGTGCGCAGGTACTTCCATACTGGGTTCTTCACGCCGAAAAGATTCTTCATGCCGATACTGTCCTTTTGATTGGAGCCGGCGAAATGGCGATCAGAGAAGTTATCGAAGTCGCGGATCATGAAATGCTTAATAATCTCAGGATCACGCAACAACAAGCAAGGCTTATGGAAGATGTAGAAGCCAACGAAGGGCGCGTTTGACTTAGCCATTTTATACAGTTGACCCAAATGGTATCCCGGTGCGGAACGGAAGAGCACAGCATCCTTAAAGTTACCGAAGATCAAGTTCGCGGGAATCGATTCGACGCCGCGTCTCTTCCAGTAGTTCAGCTTATACCTGAGAATGCACAATATTACGTAATATATCTTAAATAAATAACTTAAATTGTCTTGAGGAATACACGTCCTCTTTATTTTCTTAACATTTTCACATTTTTATGAAAAATTTTATGTCTATAGACACACCGAAAGTCACTCTCAGATTACTTCGGGTCTGTTTCAGTTTTAGTTTACAAGCATTAAAGTCTATTCGTTATTGCAATCACGTTCACAATTGTTATTGTACAATTAATTATTTAATAATTACTATTTTTTTAACGATCATTATTATCTTTTTTAATTCCCTTATAGAAATATCATACTAAGAATCATTGATAATTACTTATTATCCAGTATTTTTAATATTGAAAATAAGTAATTATCAATGATTCTTAGTATGATATTTCTATAAAGGTTTTATGCTAACCTGGCATATTTCTATAAAGGTTTTATGCTAACCTGGCATATATGCAGAAGAAAACTACTGTCGTAACGAACAACACGAGTATAGTCAGCATGATTCTTTTTCTTTCTTCTTTTTTCAATGTTTATCTACTGTCTTAGTGAACTGAATGCTGCTTTAAGAGTACGTGAGCCTTTTATATACCAGCAAGTGTATCTACTGCGCCGCGCCTATCAGTAAAAAAATATAACGGAGATACACAGGAAGTTTAACATATCAATCAGATGATAATCATAGCTATAGGTGATTTTTGTTATAATCTAATTAATCTAATCGACAATTAACTTGGTCGATGAAGTAGTTTACATAGGAATACAGTTCTAAAAGGTTAATAAAAGGGAAATAAAGGAAAATAAAAAAAGAAATAAAAAAATTCGGTTATGTTCTCTTTTTCTTGATATTCATGTTTAAAAATTATATAATTGTATAATCCATATTTAAATTGTATAATTAAATGTATAATCCATATTTAAATTGTATAATTAATTGTATATTTAAATTGTATAATTAATTGTATAATCCATATTGTATATTTAATTGTATATTTAAATTGTATAATTAATTGTATATTTAAATTGTATAATTAATTGTATAATCCATATTGTATATTTAATTGTATATTTAAATTGTATAATTAATTGTATATTTAAATTGTATAATTAATTGTATAATCCATATTTAAATTGTATAATTAAAAACTGACAGCGTGATTCTATTATTATAGTCAGTCATCGATTTTCGTTAAATTTCAATTATTATATTGTTATATTTCAATTATTCTAATTGAGATTGGTAACAAAAAGAATGAAAAAGTGAAATATAATGATTGCTGATATAATTGTCGAAAATTTGCATTCCACTATCTTGATTTGAACTATCTCGATTACAATTTTTCGAGCAGCAAATATTAATTGGTTGACGATTATCCGTTATCCAAGTAAATTAATAGTAGAGTTCGTGTAGTTTAGCAGCAAATTTGGTCAGAATTCCATATCATAAACCATATCATAAAACAATAGTTATCTGTTTTTACATTCAGCTCGTTTTGACGTCTGCTGATAGGCAATGCAAGCAGATAAGTAACAAGAGACCGCGCAGATCCTGTCGCAGACTCTGCTCGACCATCTGCTCGGATTGCCCGTCAGTAGGCTCTGTCACGTTTTTGACGATTGTTCTGCAACATGATTAGATCCTGGATTTACTGCCTTTCTGCCATCAGAAATTTGTAGCAAGCTCTGTTCAAAATCTATTTGCATAAGTTTAGCAATATATTTAGCTAGATATATATTTAATATTAACGGTAATGTTTTGTGTTATTCGGATTGATTTCATATTCGAATATATTAATAATTCCTATTGTATTTATCTCATAGTGCAAATAAGATCAAAACGAATCGGTATGAGAGCACTTTCCTATGAGAAATACGTTTAACTTTAATTTAAGTGGAATATACCTCAACAAGCGAAAAATATCAACAATCTCTAATATCTTTTACGATTGATTTTGCGATAAATTAGTTTTCTACTCAACGAAGAAAGGACGTGATATAGTGTTTCTGTTTAACTATTTCTAAAGTAACTCTCTGCATAATTGTTTTTAAAGTAACTAAATAATAGGATATTGTAGTTGTGACTATAAAGCTAAAATAAGCTATAAAACTATAAAAACTATAAAGCTAAAATAAACTATAAAGTTTTAAAGTTATAAATATTATAAAGTTATATATATAAAACTAAATAAATAATAATTTTAACTTAAAAGCATGTAGCAAGATAATAAGATAAATATTACATAAAAAAATGTGACTTTAAACCATAATTTGAAAGGCATTATATATTACGTATATGTATATTTGATATACAGGGTATCTCACACTCTCCTCCGGGTATTTTGTGGGAACGTAGAACAGGTTGAGGTAAACATAAAATCTTATACCATTTTCGTTTATACCATATTCGTTTTGCGATATTCGCAATAATTATCGAGATATTAATTGTAAAAAACTTGTAAATGATCATGCAGAATATAGTAAATGAGTTATAGTAGCGATGACTGCTGTCGTGTACTCATACTTTAGGTCAAATTGAACAAAAAAGTCCTCTACCATTTTCCAAATAATCACATAGATTTTTAATTATTAATTAAAGAAGATTATTGCACGATTTCGCGTGATAATGCACTCATCTTCTTTAATTAATAATTATAAATCTATGTAATTATTTGCAAAATGGTAAAGAGCTTTCTGCCAATTTGGATTCATATCTAAAAAGAAATAATGCCTATTAACGTCACCTTGATTAGTGAATATGGCTTCATAAAAAAGCACGTACTAAATAAATATTGATATATTCAATCTTTCATTCTCTTACATATTCCATTTCTGGTCCAACTATAATCCCATACGGCAGATAAAACCTCTTTTTGTGATGAAAGTATGCAGATGCACAGCAAAAACTAAAGTTACTACTTTTAATTCATTTGAACCTGTTTTACGATGTATCCTTTTTAAATCGTCTTCATACCCTCTCAATTATGTCACTTTATCGTCATTTGGGTTGAACGTCTATAAAAATATTCGTGAATCTTTCTACAGCTTTAAAATCGTCCCTATAAACTTCTACAATACTGATCATATCAACTATTTCAAACGGCGGATAATCTGCTATATTGGAATGTATTTCAAAATAACTTGCGCTATTTTGCGCCTGTTGGAGAAGATTTAGCAAAAAGTTTACCAAGAACAAAATTTCCTTACTTTTTTCCATAGAATTCGAATCTGTAATAAAAAAGAGATATTTCCATCGAAAAAATCAATCTAGGTTTTATTGGGCCCAAAGAAAGTCCCGGGCTCAAAATCTAAGTAGTTCATTTGATAAGCCTCTTCAAACGCTTCAACTTTTATTTGAAACAGTTTTTTAAAAAATGTATTGTTTTCGAGATATTTCGTTGTGTAAGTTAAAATGAGACACCTTGTATGTATCCGATTTATGCGTAAAAAATTACACATGATAAAAATTATATTAATCTATTTTCCTGTACAATCCACTCAGATATTTTACTTATCGCATAAAATATCTCTGCAAGATTAAATTGAAACGACACATCCGCATTACCGTTCGCCATTTAGATGGCTTTTACTTGCAAACACCGATAAAGCCCCAAAATTCCCAAAGTGCGATTAGATTAGATCAAACTATTACGTATTACGTGCGATTGCATATTCGATCAGATTGACACGTGGTGATCAAAGTGGCCAGAAAGTAATCTATAACAGCAATTTTTGCAGATCTCCGTGAGGGATCTCTAAATATGTTTGTATTATATCTCAATGAATTCGATAAGGAGCCGAGTGATCGAAATCACTTTGAATGCTGAAACTTCCGAATCGATGTTATCGTTGGAGCCAGTACTGTTCAGTTACGTCAAGCGAGCGAAATCTTATCGTATAAAGACATTCGAGTTAATATCTTTCGGAAGCAATCTTCAGATATCACGATGTAAGAAGTTAACGGAGATGTTGTGAACGGAATATAATATAAAAGTTTTCGCGAGGAAGCCTAAAAATCGAAATTCTTGCACGTTTGACGAAACCGCTATTAGTTTTGCAGTATTCAATTGCTTTCAGTTGTCCATCGACTACCGTCAGTCAAAGTATCAGAATTTGTTTATAACAGAAAATCGACAAGATCTAACTATACGTGATGAAACTTATCTTACACACCGAAATATCTCGAAAACAATGCATTTTCGAAAAAACTGTTTCAAATGAAAGTTGTAGGGCTTGAATATATGTAATACATATGAAGTATATATGTCATACATATATATTTCATCATCATATATTTCATACATATATGTAAGTAAACATATTTTTATACTTATGTTTACATAATTTTTATATTTATGTGTAACGAATTTAGCGTGCTTTTGATCCTGCGAACAGCAAGTAGCAGATTCAATTTAATAACCTTTATCTTCGCTGATTCACGTCTTTATCGAGTGTAATGATGACGAGGTTTCATCAACGACAAGTTTTCATTTACGTGTATAATTATAAGATATATATTTATTTTATATATTATATACTTTTATATTATATATTATATATAATATTATATACTACACATATCAATATAAATATGTATACTTTCTTCTTTTATTTGTACAAAATAATATACTATTGTACAAAATAATATACTATTATATATACAGGGTGTAACATAATGGACGACTTTTCTCTAGAGGTTTCCTCTTCCACTTTTTCCTCTGACTATTAATAACAAAGTTATTAACGAGGAAAGTCGACCAATGGCGTGTGTGTGTGTGTGTGTGTGTGTGTGTGTGTGTGTGTGTGTGTG